AAAATTTGAAATATTGAAAACTTGCAAGCTTGAAAATTAAATAACTTCAATATTTGAAAAGTTATTTTTCTAACCTAAAAAAATACATGTTCTCCCTCGATATTCCCAGTCATTAAAATTTGTTTTATAAAGAAGCCACTCGTTTTAACTTTTTAAACTAATTTGTAACCAATCTTTGAAAGTTTTAACATACTTCACATCTGATTTCAGTAAATTTAAACGTTGAAACAAAACCATAAATTTGAAAAAATGGACAAAATTTCACAGAAAAATTCAGAACTTAATTTTTAATATAAGGAGCTAACATTTTAGCTGAGCACTGAAACATAGTTTGAGGGAAAAAATAATAAAAGTATCAGATCTTCAATGTGACCATTAAACATTTTGCACAAGTGATCCATGCACAGAAATTTTGTTTAATTTTGTTTATTGATCATTTTGTTGTCAAGATATTTGTTGACGAAAGGAAGATACGCGAATATGTATGTTCATTTGTCGGGTTTAATTAAAAGTTCACGCTGCAGTTGCAGTGACTAGGTAAAGTGAAACCGGAAGGCGAACCAAGCATTTTTTGCACATTCAACCATGATGTATTTCCACATATTGCAACTGGGAATTTTTGTAATTTAAATCGAAACTCACTGTATTTTATATGGCTAGATCCATTAAGAAATGTGATAAGAATCAACGCACTTCAACGAATCCACATGAACAAGGGTGAATACAAACTTCTGGGGTAACTATGTGTACGTGAATTTCTGGGGTTAATATGCGAGGAAAAGCTGAAAGGAAATTCATTTACTTGCATCAAGTTCTTATTTCTTACTGCAAACATTTTCCCATTTTAGATCAGGCAATTTTAAAATGTATAAGGTTTTAGATTTAACAATTTTTTAAAAAAGGTATTAAGAAATTTAAGAAATTAAGAAATTAAGAAAACAAGACATTTATGAAATTAAGAAATTTAAGAAATTAAGAAATTTTGCAATACTTAAATTTTCTTTAAACATTGCAAATTTTATAATTTTCTAATACTCAAAATTTTTAATCTAATATACTAAATTCTTCATTTCCTAATACCCAGATTTTTAATTATATAATATTTAAATTTTTTAATTTTCTAATATTTAAATTTGTACATTTTCTAATATTTGAATTGCCCAACTCCTTAGTGATCAAATTTTCTGATACTCAAATCTCCAAATTTCCACATTTCAAAATCTTCAAATCTCTAAATCTTTAAATTTCCAAATACCTAAATTCCCAAATCTCTAAATCTCTAAATCATTAAACCTCCAAATATCAAAATGATCAAATATCCAAATTTCCAAATACTCAACTGCCTATATCTTTAAATCTCCAAATTCCCAAATCTCCAAATTCCCAAATCTTCAAATTCCCAAATCTTCAAATTCCCAAGTCTCCAAATTTCCAAATACTCAAATGGCCACATTTCTAAATCTCCAAATACTAAAATGTTCAAATCTTCAAATTCCCCAATTTCCGAATCCTCAATTCTCCAAATATCCAAATACTCAAGTGTCTATATCTCTAAATCTCCAAGTACCCAAATGTCCAAATCTCCAAATTTCCAAATACTCAAGTGTCTATATCTCTAAATCTCCAAGTATCCAAATGTCCAAATCTCCAAATTTCCAAATACTCAACTGTCTATATCTCTAAATCTCCAAATACTCAAATGTCCAAATCTCCAAATATCCAAATCTCTAAATCCCCAAGTTCCCAAATCCCTAAATCTCCAAATTTCAATCCACAATAAATACTCACTACTCTGTTTCTAATACACCTAACATATACAATTCCCTAATTTAAATAACACCACAAATACTAAATTTCATGCCTTACATTAATACCCTAGATGGTGCCCCCATCACTCATTTTTTTCATTGTCCACACATGCCGCCCCCATAACCTATATCTGCCCTCTAGTAATTATACACCCCTATAGCATCAAAAATTAATTGCCGCAAGAAACGTCCATCTGAATTTCAACCAAACCACTTTTGAATATCCACTCCGGTTGTCAGATGTCATTAAAAGATGATTTATAACCGGCTCTGACGTGGCACCGGGAATTTAATTAAGCGTATTTACGTTCCTGGCCAGTTAACGGTTCGTTTTATGAACGAATTGTTGCGGGAACAAAGTTCATTCTTAAATTAGCGAATAAACGGTAACTATATCGGTTCCATTGCCACGAAACATTATCGCATCAACATTGGACGATTATATTTCGATGCTGGCCTTGAACAAAGAGTTACAATTCACATCCGCACGAGAAAGGAATCTGGACCAACCGGATTTCCACTGATTGTACCATACGATGGATGACACAGTTTGCAGAAACGCCCACGGTGTCGTATGTCCCTTTGAACGCCTCCATGTAGCCACATGTTCCTTAATTCGGCAATTATAGTGAACGATCGTTTTTTCGTCAAGCTTTCTTAACAACGTCTGGTTAGAACGCTGACCAGACCGGGTAATTACCGAACTGCTTACGAGAGCATGTGACGCGTGCTGTGAGCCGTTGGATGTGTGGCAATTACTATTTTAATATTTTGACGTTTTGTTGGTTGACCATTTTTCCAGATGACATTTCAGATTTTAGAATTTTGAAACTCTTCAGACTTAGCAACTTTTGGGATTTTTCGACATTTCAGACTTTTGGGACTTATAAGGTTTTCAGAATTTAGGGACGTTTTGGATTCTAGGATTTCGGGACTTTTGGATTTTTCGAAATTTGGGAGATTTTTGGGATTTTAACGTTTAGGGACATTTCAGATTTGTTGACGTTTGGGATTTTAGAATTTAGGGAATTTTTAAATTTTGGGACACTTGGGGTTAGTGGTACTTCTGGTGTCTTAGGATTCTAGGGACTTTTTAGATTGTAGGATTATGGAATTAATAAATTTCTATATTTTTTAATTTACTTAAAAAATCTTCAAATTTCTAAATTACTAAATTTCAAAATTATCATATCAAATTTGCAAATTATTAAATCTTCATGTTTTCAAATCTTCTGATTCCTAAATTTCCCAATTTCCACATTTCAAATTTAAATTTTGCATATTTTTGAATTTATAAATTCTCAGATTTACAAATTCCCAAATTTCTAAATTATTAAATTTAATTTGGCTGTTCGCAGCCAAATTATTAAACCTTCAAGTTTTCAAATTTCCTTATTCCTAAATCTTCACATCTCAAATTTAGATTTTGCAAATTTTTAATTTGTAAATTCTCAAATTTACAAATCCTCTTATTTCTAAATTATTTAATTTCAAAATTCTCCTGTTCCCAACCAAATGATTAAACCTTCAAGTTTTCAAATTTCCTTATTCCTAAATCTTCACATCTCACATATAAATTTTGCAAATTTTTAATTTGTAAATTCTCAGATTTACAAATTCCCAAATTTCTAAATTATTAAATTTCAAAATTCTCCTGTTCGCAACCAAATTATTAAACCTTCAAATTTTCAAATCTCTTGATTCCTAAATTTTCACATCTTCCTCATCCCTCACTTTCCCCATTTCCTCCACATCTCCAAATTCCCAAACCTCAAACCTCAAATTCTTATCTGTCCGAACCAAGAATCTGTCTATCCATCAATGCCTATCTCTCTACGGCCGAGTGCCTCGCAGGCATAGTTCGCTACAGCATCCAGCATAGCTTGAAAGACGATCTCTTTTTCGTAGACGACTATCTTCGTAGATAAACGATATCGAGCATCCGGTATGGGTCGGTTTGAAATCAGCTTATTCATGTTTCTTTTTCGACATCGATACAAATCTGTTCCCGCTCGATTCCCCAAGAAAATCATGCCACCATTTTTCTACTGCGCTGCGGTCGGCCTTCACCCTGAATATAGAATTGTCGGAGGTTAAACGCGAGAGGCGTGCTTGTTTCGTCCCGGTCAATTAGCGATGTTTTACGGCACTCTGTGGTCATTGATAGTCCTTCAAAGAAACTACATTGTTGAAAGACTTTTATAGCAATTTCTTACCTTTTCTCTACATTTTTCCATTTATTTCTTATCCAAATTACGATCTTGCAAGCAATGCTATAAATAAGTATATTTTTCAATTCATTTTACTTATTCTTCGTTTTCCTTCATTGTTGGTTTTACTTTTTTCAAAATTTATTAGGCCTTATGGGTAGAAGTTTTTCATTGAAAATTAAAGTATAATTGTTATAATTATTGTGGTTCTATATTTGAAAAGTAGAATTTAATTTGCTATTTAAATTATAGAATAAATTAAGGAAATTATTACTTCTTTAAGAAATAAAATGAAGCATTAAGGAATAAAAATGACTCACTGATCTTCTATTGAAAAATAAAAATCTAATTTTTAACTTAACTTATGTAGTCCATAATTTGTCAAAAATTCAGAAATTTCAAAAAATTACAAAATTTCAATGTCCTCAAAAACACCATAACAACCATTAAAAGTTCTAGACATACTAAAAATTCTAAGAAAACTAAAAATGATAAAAATTCTAAGAAAATTAAATTCAAAAAATTCTAAGATTTCTATGATAACTAAAAATTATAAAAGTTCTAAAAATTATAAGAAAACTAAATTCTAATAATTCTAAGAATTTTAAGAATTCTAAAAATTCTAAGAAAACTAAAAAGTCTAAGAAAGTTAAAATTTCTAAAAATTCTAATAATTCTAATAATTCTCGAAATTGTAGATTCTAAAGATTCTAAAAATTCTAAGAAAATTAAATTCTAAAAATTACAAGAAAACTATAAAATTCTAAAAATTCTGAAAATCCTAAAATTTCTACAAATCCTAAAAATTCTAAAAATTCCAAATTTAAAAAATCTGAAAATTCTGATTGCAGTCCTATCCAATAAAATAGTTCACATAAATACGCACGGTAGAAACGTACAAAATATATAAAGCTTAAGTTCCCTATCGCTAATTCATCCCATCCGTCGTAAAGTCTCTTTTGCACCGTTTACTCTGTTACAGAGGAGGAAGAGATCGACGTAGTGACCTTCGAGAAACCGTGCCGACCCGCAGCGTTACCAACGTACCCGAACTTCGTCGATCAGCAGCATTTCCAATTGACAGTGAACACCGCATTTAAAAAGGCGCCGCGACCACGTGGCCGGCCGCCCTCGAACCCGGCGAGGAAAAGAACCGCTCAACCCGAACCGAAGCCAGCGAAACGTGCTCGTCAAAGAACGTACCAGAGGAGGAACAATGGCGGACGATGCATGCCAGCGTCGTCTCCCCCGATGAAGATGAGCTCTTCAGCGTCGAGAAGCTCGTCGGAGGACGAGCTGGACACGGAGAAACGTAGCTTGCACAATAACATGGAGCGTCAGAGGCGGATAGAGCTACGAAACGCGTTCGAGGAGCTGCGCATTCTCGTACCAGCCATCGAGTCGAAGGAGAAGGCACCGAAAGTCGCCATCTTAAGGCAGGCGGCTATGTACTGTGATATGCTAACCGAGCTTGACCAGAGCACCGTGGCCAAGGTGATGGACCTCAGGAAACGGCAGGAGAAGCTTCGAGCCAGACTTAGTCAACTACGGAGGAGTCTCGCCATGACGCGTTGAGGAGAGACTCTTCGTACGAAATTTTACCGACCACGTCGGTACGATTTTTATTTCTAACAGTTCCGCTCGATGTTCGACGAGATTACAAAATGGTGCGAGTATCAGAAACATGGGAGAACGGGTTACGTGGAGGGACTAATTGATACTAGTGTCGACGGAATTGAAGGACAATTTAGAGTTTCGTTTTGCCTTGAAGAGAAGGTTAACAGAAGAGGCTGACGAAGAGTTTTCAAGATTTATTATATACCGTGTATATTTGTGATTCGCCGAGTAGCAACCTATGAAGATTATGCAGTTAAGGTATCGGTAAAGACGCAGTGTGCCGACAATAGATTCAGAGTTTTGTCAGATAAGTTCGCGATAAAATGCACTGTGAGAAGAAATCAGGTGGAAAGTCAGGTCTATTTTTATTATGAAGTCTTGACAGTGGCATCTTATCGTGCTGATTGAGACCGGTTCTCAAGGGACGATTTTTTCGAGAAAATGTAGCGGAAACGACAAACAGTTTGAAGGGATCAACAGTTAGCTTTTTAAGCCGGTGAGAAAGCTAGGCTTCTCTAGGGGAAAAATGGTGAAGTTTTATATAAAAAATTTGTAAATTTAGAAATTTTTGTGTTACCAAATTTTTTGGGTTAGAACTTCAAATATGGAATTTTAGAAATTTTCAAAGTCACAAGCTTCCGAATTTTAAAATTTAGACATTTTTAGTTCCTAAATTTAATAAATTAGAATATTTGAATTTATAAATTTTCTAAATTAGAAGTTTTGAATTTAGAAATTTTCTAAATTTTCTAAATTAGAATTTTTTATTTACTAAATTGTCTAATTCAGAAATTTAGAAATTTTCAAGGTTACAAGCTTTCAAATTTTAAAATTTAGAAATTTTTAGTTCCTAAATTTAATAAATTAGAATTTTTTGATTTGTAAATTTTCTAAATTAGAATTTTTCATCTACTAAATTCTCTAATTTAGAATTTTAGAAATTTTCAGATATGTAAGAGGAATTTAGGAATTCAAAAATTTTTCAATGATTTTCAAATTTGAATATTTAGAAATATTTAAATTACCTCAAGTTTGGAATTGAAGAAATTTCCAATGTTAAAAAGCTTTTAATTTTTTCGAAAGTTTATAAATTAAAAATTTATAATAAATTATAAATTATAAATTTATATAAATTGTTAATTTTTTTTCTAAATTTTAATTTAGAAGTTGTGAAATTTGAAAACTTGAATATTTGAAAATTATGATGGAGTCAGTCTGGGAATTTTGTAACAGAAACTTAAAAATTCTGGGAATTTAAGAATTTGAGAAAATACTTGAAGATTTGGAAATTGTAGAAATTTATAAATATATAAACTTGAATTTATAAATCTAATAAATAAATAAATTCAAATTTATAAATTTATAGATAAATAAATAAATTTAAATTTATAAATTTATAGATAAGTAAGTAAATTTATATTTATAAATTTGTAGGTGAATAAATTTTTAAGTAAATAACTTTATAATAAATTTATAAATAATAAATTTAAATTTATAGATATCAGAATAAATAAATAAATTGTTAAATTTGAAAATTTCTCAAATTTAAAATTTGAAAATCTTCAAATTTAAGAATTTGCAAGTTTCAAAAACTTGAAATTTGGTTTTGTGATTCTTAAATTCTCAGGATTAACAATATGGGAAATTTCAAATGTAAAAATTTAGAAATGAAAAATTTCCCATATTCAGTTGTTTAAAATGAAAAACAAAATGGAGTCCACTTATTCCAATCTAGAGAGAGCCTACCTTGCAACCGAGTACTTTTCAGTTTTGTTGAAATACGTGAATAATTGCATCCTATTAAAACTTTTCTTCAATTACATTGGAATTATCCAAAGTAAAAAACTCAGCATTAAGAACACTTATTACGATAATAAACCTCGACAGTTTTATTGGATTCGAATGGTTCAATCTGTGAGCCGCTTTAAATATGGCAAAGTGAAACTTTTGCATAGATAAGAGAAAACGAGTCTTATCAGAACGTTATCTAACATTAGTATCACCGACTCTCAACTAACTAGTCTTAGGATGTGTTGCAAAGCTGAACCGGTTTCTAGGTATATTTTTGTTTTCACGAACAAATAAAAACGGTGAAAGAAAAGAGGAAAGCGTGCATGCAGATTTCAATCGTCAATGGGTGGTTCTTTTTCCAAAACTTGTACTAGCAATTAGAGGCAGAAAGAAAGTTGTTTCGATTTTATATCGAATGGCGGAGCTGGAAGAGTCGACTGCGTTCTGGTCGAACAGGTTGCTGTTCTCGTTGCAGTCACAATATATTATAGTTTTCCATGACGGCAAATAGTTTTGGAAATTGAATCGGCAGCGACATGCCTCGCTAATTCGCTAAAACATTTCAAATATCTTAGAATTCTCATTACACTTTATTGCATTCGAAACTTTCGAAGGTTGTACACAGAGCCGAACCTAGAATTTGTGGGACCTGGGATATTCACGTTTTCAACGCTCTTGGATTAGACTACTTACTCTAGTGAGTATAGTTCACTCTCGTTATATTGCAATGGGGACTATATTCTTTGACAATATCTTTGGCAGCATTTCAAAACTTGTAGTAGTTCAAAAAATGAAAAATTTCTAAAATTGGATCAGACATTACTAGTGAGTATAGTTTACTCTCGTTATATTGCAATAAAGCCTATACTCTTTGATAATATAGAAATCTTGCGTGTAACATTTCAAAGCTTCTTTTAGTTAAAAAAATGCAAAATTTCTGAAAGTGAACCAGACAGATTACTAGTGAGTATAGTTCACTCTCGTTATATTGCATTGGGCACTATACTCTTCGGTAATATATTGCGAGTATTTCAGAACTTGTTTGGAAATATTAACATTTGAGAATTTGTAACAACAGTTTCAAATTTTGAAAATTGGTGATTTTGAGAATTTTTTAATTGAAAAATTTGAAGGTTACTAAATTTGAGAATTTCTGATTTTGAAAATTTTTGAATATTTGAAGATTTTGTAAATTCAAAATTATTTTAATTTCAAATTTTATTTATTTGAGATTCTGGAAATTATAAATAAATATAATTAATTTTGAGTAACCTTAAAAATGACTAAATTTAAAAATATGATTTTAGAAATTTAAAAACTTGAAAACTGATAAAGTTAGGCGTTTCTTAATTTACTTCGTGATTTTGAAATTTTGTAATTTCTATAATTTACAAGTTTGAAAATTTACAAATTGTTTTACTTGTATATTAGAGAATTTGTAAATCTGAATTTCTAAATTTGAGATTTGAAAACTTCTAAATTAGAAAATTGACAATTTCTATATTTAAAATTTGGAAACTTCTAAATTGGAAAATTAGTAATTTCTAAATTCGACAACGGAAAATTTCTAAATTTCTAAATAAAATTGAAAATTTTTTACATTTCTCAGTAAAATTGAAAATTTCCAAATTTTTTAGTAAAATTGAAAATTTCTAAATTTTTCAGTAAAATTAAAAATTTCTAAATTTCTCAGTCACCCTAAAAACTTCATAAATTAAAAAAATTTAAGACTTGCAAAAAATAATCACAAGTGCCCCATTCGTCCCCAGCTTTATGGACGGCAAAGATTTCAAACATTAATTCTCTCATTAAAAAAACGTATTAAGTAAACCTCAAAAACCAATCACAATTTTCTCCCACTTCAGAAAAGAACATGTTTCTAACTTTTTGAATTCATATTCACTACTTCATAGTGTCTATGAAGAAACACTAACTAGCTGCGGTAAAGCAACAATAACCATTCTACAATACAATCTCTCCCCTAATGAATTCCATTGTTTTCTCCATTCAAATCTCACGTTTCTAGCATCGTAGTCACAAGTGATTGTTTATCGATTAATTGATGATCACCGTGTGATCTTTACGTTCTGGCGTGTCACACTTTCAATAGAATGCTTCTATGCATCCGGTACTGATTATGTCCTGGAAATCTTGCGTATAGTGGAGACTATGGTATAGCGGAGTCGTAAATTTAAATGTGAAAATACGTGAATGAAAAAATAAATGTTATGCAATATGGTGGAAAATGAAATTCGTATGATTTCGTTTTCTTGTTTTTCAATGAGTTGAATCTTTATTTAGAGCTGGTTTTAATGTTTGTATTAGTCGAAATATTTTTTTATACCATTTTTGAGTAGCAAAATTGAGAATCCCCAAACTTAAATTTTCAAAATTAAAATTTTCAAATCAGAAATTCGTGATTTTACATTTCAAGGTTTTTGGATATTTGAACTTTAAAATTGTTAAGTTGTCGATTTTCAAATTTTTTAATTTCTGAATTGCTGTTTTCAAATTTTTCTAATATTCCAGTCAAAAAATTTTCAAACTTGAAGTTTTACGTGGTTAAATTTTTAAATTGCCTGATTTTCATATTTGAAATTTTTAATTTTTCGAAAATCCAAATTTTTTAGAAGAAATTTCTTAATACTTACATTTTTAAGTTACTGAATTACTTAAATTTCAATCAAATCCAAATACTAGTATTTCCAAATTTCAAAGTACTCTAATTTCTAGATTTTCAAATTCTCAAATCTCTAAATTTCTAACTTAGAAAAATACGAAAGCAATTATCTAAAATTCTCATTTTTAAATTTTCAATGTCTCAAGGTTCCAAATAAAAAATTTCAAAGCTGCCGTTTTAGTTCCCCGAATTCCTAAGTTCTCAAATTTTCAACCTTCAAATTCTTTAAAAAATTTTGAAATTATCTCATTAAAAAATTCTCAAATTTGTAAAAGTTTATAAATTTCTCAAGGTTCCAATTCTTCAATTTCAAAAATTTCAACGCTGCCGTAGGTCCCCAAATTCCCAAATTCTCAAATTTTCAAACCTTCAAATTCTTTAAAAAATTGTTCAAATTATCTCATCAAAAAATTCTCAAATTTTCAAAAGTTTATAAATTTGTAAAAACTATAAATTTTCAAATTTCGACGTTTGCATGTCTGATCCCGAAATACTTCTACATTTTCAAATGCCAACTATCAAAATTCCCCACTTTCCAAATCGCCATATTATCATATTAAAAACTTCCAAATTTTTAATTTCTTATATTCATTTCAAAATTCATAAATCCTCAAATGAAAAATCTATCCTCCACTCTAACAATTCTATCCTTGTTCATAAAAACTCTTCAAAAACACAACCCAAAATCTTCGATCTTCGGCGATAAATCGAACATGCAAAATAACACGTTGCTAGTATCATCCTCAAAAGAGCATCTCCGTACCTTCATCCTGTGTAACGCTGTAAAATATCGTATACTTTTCTTCTTAACGGGTGCAATAAGGTGAGGCGGATCGTTAACTTTGTTATTGGAACTAGCTAGAAATAAAGGACGGCGATATACCGAGAGGGAGGAGGATCGACATTTTTTTTACGATTCATCGATCCGAATTCTGCACTCGTCTAGTTTTTTCTAGCTAAGAAAACTTCGAATTAGAATAAAGGCGGCCGAGGTGCGCCTTCTCGTCGGGCGCACGGTCGATCTCGTATTTTTGGGATTCGTTCGTCGACGATTTTCACGAGAAAGGAGTTTCTCGTTTGGCCCGTAGAGGCCTGGCTACGCTTTTAGACACGCGTGAATAATGTATGTACGCATTATTCACGCTTAGGTATATAAGTTTATAT